GGAAGATTTTGAGGGATTATTATCGGCATGTGCTGGACAACCCTAACACGCTAATAAGTCAGTTTTACGGTTTGCATCGGGTCAAGATACCCTACGGGCGCAAGATCCATTTTGTGGTCATGAATAATCTATTTCCGCCGCACAGAGATATCCACCAGATGTTTGACCTGAAGGGATCGACCGTTGGGAGAGACTTTAGTGAGGAAGACTTGGTCAACAACCCTAGAGCGACGTTGAAAGACATGAATTGGTTGAGGAGAGGGCTGCACCTCGAATTCGATGCGCGAATACGGGAGATATTCCTGGACCAGATGAAAAGAGACGTCGCTCTCTTGCAAAGGCTCCACATTATGGACTACTCCTTGCTGGTTGGTATGCACGACCTGGAGAAGGGTAACGAAGAGAATTTGAGAGAGAACACGCTGCAAGTTTTCCAGCCTGGTGGAGAGAGCAACGAGGACGAGTATGGGCCGTCGGTGTTGACTCGAACACCTTCCCGCCTTGAAAATGCGAGAAAAGCGCGAGAACTGAGACTGACGCTGAAGAAAGAGAAACCCGTCCCTATGGGCTTGGTGAGTGCCAAGATGCCGTCTGAGATGGCCTCGGGGGATGAAAGACGTGATCGGATCTTCTACAGCTATGACGGCGGTATTCGGGCTACGCATGAAGATGGGCGAGGTGCTGAAATGGTTTACTACCTTGGCATCATTGACTGTCTGACTCACGTAAGTTGAACGTCCATCTCCTCGCTGCTTCGCGGCCACTAACATTTCCACAGTATGGTATGATCAAAAGAATTGAGCATTACTGGAAGGGTCTTTCAGCCCCGCGAGGGCAGATATCAGCTATCCCTCCACAAGCATACGGGGAACGATTCATCAACTTCATCACCGGGGTAACCATGACCCAGGAAGAAGCCAAGAGACGAGAAACCGGCGAGAGTCATCGAGCTTGGGAACAAGTACCAATACATGCTGGACCTGGGGAGAATCTCGGACAGCCATCGGGCGCGATCTCTTCTCCCGGTCCCGACTCATCTACCGTGCATTCTCCGCCGATCGGTCCAGCAGTGGAAAGGACCATGAGAAAAGCCCAGAAGCAAACCGACAAAGCGACGCCGTCTGAGAAAGGCTGGAGTGAAAACGAAGAGGAGAAGCCTGACCGGACGTTGAAAACGGCCGAGGATGCAAGGGCCGCCATGACGCTACCTGTCGTCACGGAGGCCGGAGAAAGCGGGGGATCAAGGGAAAAGAAGCGGGCGCTAAGTCCACCGAACGAGGCTGAAGAAGAACGAGAAGATCATGCGGCCAATTTACCGCCATCTCCTGTGCACATCGGCTCGTCAATACGAGGTGTACGCAAAGTTTCGCCTTCAACCGTGGCAACCGCGACAGAAGTGGGAGAAGATGACACCAGCATGTCAAGTCCACCGACCCAACCTCTTGATTTTGAACCAGACTCGCACACCGACGACGAGGCCCACTCTCTGCGGGATCGAGATGCTGACATGGAGAGAGAGTTCAACGAAAAGCCACCGCGGATAGCGAGCGATCTGATCCAGCCCCAGTCCCCCCTTCGGGATAGCGTGATGAGATCGCTTGATCAACAGATTGGGAAATCTGGTCGTTAACCTTGAGTGTCATTTCGCAATGTTCATCTTCGGAGAATTAAACGTCTCGTACGACTTGAACGATGGGCGCAATCGGTCTTTTGAGAGCATCGGCATTTCATTTGTGTTTTCAGTCATATCATCCGAAGGGGCACATTGTTCATTAAAGAAGGATCCAGAAAGCAATTGGGACAGGCGCATCGGTGAAGAACAACAGGCCACAGCAGAGAAAAGGATACTTGACAAAGGTTGGAGCATCGAAAACTGCTCCTCCAATGGAAGAGCCCATTCAATTTCTACTAGGTCGTGAGGCAACACTGAGGAACAGTTCCACATCAGGGCCGTGTCCTGAAGAGGATATGTCTTCTGTTTACACGCACAAAAGGAGGCGGCGTCGGGATTTGCCAAAAGATTCAGACTTCTTTTTCCATCAGCGACTTGTTTTGAGTGGATGACGATCACCGGCAGAGAGAGCATTGGAAGAGGTATATTTTGCACAGATAGCAGAAGGCCAGTCTGGTCTGACACGCTTCCTACGAGCCACGAGCCTTAGGGATTTAGAGCAGGTTGATCATGACGGCGCCACCAGCATACGTAGACCCCCGGACAGATGATTGACGTATTTTGACCTCAGCGTGGCGGCTGAAGTGGCTGTGAGCAGTGTCCACTGTCAAGGTGAAAATTGAAGGGTCCGAAACAAGCTCAATAATTAACCTTTAAGCGCCAAAATTCTTGTTTCTGCGCCAAGGACCGGAACTCGCTTATTGAATGGGCCGTGCGTCTACTTGGTACGAGGTACGTAATGCTGACTCCGCCCAGCCAAGCCCAACATCGATCGCCTGAGGAATCAAGTGACATTTTCGTAGGAATCGTGGCGTTTTGATATATAGACTAGCTTCATCCTGATGCTGCGTGATTGCAACCGAATTTTTAAAGCCCTCTTAAAACCCCGCTGAAAATCTAGGTAGAGTATACATCAGAATACGAATAAAGCGCCGACGTTAACGACAACAACAGCAACGACAACAGCAACGACGAGAGAGAAGGGAAGAGAAGAAAAACAGAATGGCCCGTCCACCGTCGTCCACTGTAAGTTTCAAACCCCCTGTCTTTCTTCACCGAGAGTGTTTCCCTCGTATTTCTTTTTGGCGAGTGCGGTCAAAATGGAACCCCTTCCTCCCACCCCACTGATTGATACCACGATTCTGAACTCCATTGTGTAATTAACCTCGTGCCTTGCTTACATTACTGCAATAGAGTGATGTGTGCCTGTACTTCCTCGCGCTCTTCCTGCCGCCGCTAGCCGTGTTTTTCAAAACCGGGTGCGACTCCAATTTTATCATCAATATCCTGCTAAGTATTCTGGGGTGGTTGCCGGGTGTGCTACGTAAGTTTCCCAGTGCTTTCTTTTCTTTTCGCCCCCTTTTGTGTTCTTCTGCAGCGAGATTCGGATATACTTTGACGGACACTAATCCGATATCGAGCTGTATCTGTATAGACGCTTGGTGGATCATCACCAAATACGAAAGACCTGCGGCACAGCCGGCCGTGGTTGTCGTCTAATGAGATACATGGAATGTCGGAGATTTGTACGGAGTATTGGCCAAGTTACGCCCGGTCGACTCCCGATACATTACGATGACATACACGTTTATTTGAATCGTGGGGGGCTAAGCTCAAGGTGTTTAGGTTCTTATCTGCTCTCTGGGACCTGGGGTATAGTTGACAACGGCGGTCGATCTTAATTTCGATTTTATACCCACGACGACGAGGACGAGGGAACTGGGAGAAGGTGTGGTTGTGAGAGAAATGGTAGATTCTATAATGATGGTGTGAAAACCGGGAGAGAGCCTCCCCCGAGGGGCTCAATCAATTGCCTCAAAACTCCTTTCATCGCGTTCCGTCTTTTTGTTTTTAACTTGACGCCCTTGCACTTGCCCTTGGACCCTTGCCGCCCCTAGGCATGGGTGGATTCTCACCTGGCTGTATCCCAAGCTCCGTAGATAAGGACGACATGTTCGGCAAACTACGTGGTGATACAGTGACTTGTACAGGGGAATAATTAGTCCATGTTAGTGTGCTCTCCGTATGGAGTATGTGTAGGGGGTCTTCACGATGTAGACGTTCACATAACAATATTATGACCCCATATTTTTATGTGGGCCGTATATTACCTAGATTATTCGAGAGCGAAAATTCGAATTGGCGTTTGCGGTTTGATTGTAAAGGGTGAGCGAAGGCCGCTTTAACCTGAGGTTTAACTGAGGTATTAAACTGAGCCCCACTGAGCACTCCCTGTGTAAGGCATCTTGAAAGAATTAGGCTGAAGAGCAGGCCTGATAAAATTGAGCAGGTTGACGGCTACAGCCGGATTCGTCACGAGGCAGGCAACGCGACCGGTGTGAATGCGGCCTGCATTCAGCTATGATGGTATCATGTCGGCTCCAACAACCCCCCCC